CAAAGCTCACCACATCAGCAGTCCCTCCTCTCCAAGGATTCTTCAAGATCAGCTATTTAGAACACGTTTCTTGACCCAAACAATCCTATGGCAGAAAGCTTAAAGGTTTCAATGGGGGTCCCAGATTTGAATCACCATCCAGTGAGCTAATTCTAGGTCACCCTTCGTGAAAAGGATGCCACATAAGCAGTTCCCATTTCAAATCTGCTACGCATGCTGCACTCCCTGTCATTTGTTCCAATAGTGCAAGTAGAACTGAATCTAGGTCAAGTTCTGAATTACATACTCCATAAAATAAAAGCTTTTTTTTTTAACCAGGAAACAGTTGGGATTGGTCAGTCACCTGGTGGTTCATAAGGATTTTTTTTCTTTTTAATCTTGCACAGGCAACAAGAGCATGTGACGCATTTACTGTTATGATCATTTTTTCAGGGTTGCATAGAAATATTTTCTTTTGGAGGGAGAAACCCCTAGTCTTTATCCCCAGCTCAGTCTTTTCTGGCAGTGAAATGTTTTTATGACAAATTATAATGTTTTGGTACATGGCTTATATAATACTAGTTTTTAGAGAACTTACAGTAGGTGAAGAGTTCTTGTTCTCAATTTTAAGAGAGTTGGAAGTACTCTAGATTATTTCATTCCCCTCAGCCCACCTCCCTTTTCTTTTTCTTTCCTAATGACACCCTAAATATTTTGTGGCAGTTAAATGTTAATGCCGTGCAATATTTGGATTTGATATCCAATATATACTTCAGAATATACAGAGGTGTGAACAAGGCAAGAATATGCCAAGTCTGCTTTTATTTTAAAACAGTTCTTCAACCTCAGCATCTTTAAGACATGTGGACTTCAATTCTCAGAATTTCCCAACCAGCATGCTGGATGAGGAATTCTGGGAGTTTGTGTCCAGACACCTCAAAGTTGCTGAGGTTGAGAAATAATGCTTTAAAACATTGATCCAGGGTAAAGAGACAGCTGCTTTGAATTGCAGATGGGCACAATGTTTTATACTCCTATATACTCCAAAATGCGTTTTAGAGATCACCGCTGAAAGCACTACAAAATTCTTGCAAATGAAAGGGGTATATATATTTAAATCTTAAGTATCTCTAAGGGCACCAAATGAAAGAACTATGTTCAAAGGAGGATTCCTTCTGTAAAACAAGGTGTACGTGGCAAAATAGTGAAGCAGCAAAACTAGTTATGCTCTGTCTATCTGACACGTGTTGGATAGGTAGTAAAAAAAAATCTTTGGGTTCTCTGCCAGGTACAAGGACAAAAGAGGTAAACGAATAAATGAAGAGGAAAAGGTGAATGTGCAAAAAAAAGCCTTAAAAAAAACCTTGCATAACATGTCCTAATGTAAACTTTCATAACCTAGGACGTATCAGCAGGCAGTACACAGATTCACTGCCTAGTCAGCTTAAGATGAGGAAATGATCCGTCCACACTTCGAATGGATGTTGGGCTCCCTCAAGGAATTGTCTCCATGTTAACAATGCCCACCTCACTGCAAAGGCCTCCTTCCCCCAAACGGCCCAATTTCTCTCCCTCCACCTCCCAACATTTGAGCTCCTGACAAGGAAGCACCTTTATCAATGTAAATGAGGGGCTCTGAGCTTTCCATTAAAAAGGATAATCTTTGACCCACACCCCACCTCTAGATCCAGGCACACAGTATTATAGACAAAAGTCTTAACCTGATAACTACCAGGGGGCTACTTACACTCTTCTCGTTAGGATAAATAGCTAATTTTATGCTTTACCTTGTTGGCCCTGAAACTACAAGATGTTAGGAAAGCTACTTGCTCTTTGTTCATGAAGTCTTCTGAGAAAGAATTGTATTCATGCATCAGCTTGACACCATATGGGAACAAAGTAGGTGCTCCAACCTCCAGAGATGAACACCATTAGGTCTCATAAACAAATACTATGGGTTATAAAGAACTATTGCCTAAAGTAGCTAACAGGAAGGAAATCTGTCTTTGCATATTCTATCAATTTGCAATACAGGGAAATTAAGGGTAGGAATATTTATCGGAACAGCTAGAATCTAAAGTAGTAGCATGAAGTGCTCTTAAAAATAAAATAATCTCTTCAATTTTATAATATCAGCAATGAAAAATGCACAGATTTTACCTATTTATGGTAAAAGCTGTCATTAGATATTATACCTCTACGGGGGGGGGGGGGGACACGGACATTTCAATGTTTACTTCTCAAGCAAAAAATCAATAGAACACATTTGAAATTGGAAATAAAATCACTAGGCAGAATAACCAGCTATCTATACAAAAGCTATAGATACTGTATCTGTACCCATTTTTGTTTTCATGACATCTTCAATCAAGTTTCTCCTAAAAAATTTCTGCAGGGCTCAGAAAATTTATGATTGGTTTGCCACAGGCTTTCCACCCAGACAGTTCACGTGCCACAAAGCATTCAGTTAATTGACAAGCTCACTAACCTTTTGAAAATGTGCAACCAAGCAAAAAAAAAAAAAAAAAAAAAGACAAGGACATAGATGCAAATATGCAGAATGTCTGACTGGTTTTTTTAAAAAAACAAAAACCTTAAAATTTCCCATAAACACACAGGTACATTTAAAGTTCTAATATAATGCCCTTTCTTGACCTTGTTTCTCTTAACACAAATAGTATTATGATTTCATGACTTGTGAAACTGCTTAGCATATAAAAGAATGTAAATTCATACTTAAAATAAATGAATCTATGCCTCTGTACTACAGTGTCATCTCTTACTGGGAAATGGAAAAAGTTTCAAATGTATCTTTTATGACAATGTCTATCAACTGCAGCAATTTTAAGATGCATGGACTTTGACTCACAGAATTCTGGGAACTGAAGAGCACAGATCTTAAAGTTGCTGAGGTTGAAAAACATGGCTTTGTGATGACAGTCTCACCTGTACCTACCTACCCCAGTAACTTTTTGAAACTGAAAGATTATCCAAAAACTTAGTGATCCCTCTTTTGAAACAGGTTTATTTTGTTGCATATCATACATCATTTTGTTTATACCCTCCTTTCCAACCTTTCCGAAGTAGATTATATTGGTATATTTGAATTAAAATATGTGAATATCTTTCAGAATCGAGAAATTACAGTTTGAGAAATCTAATGCAGCATAAATACAACATGGAATGTAGTGTTGGATCCTGATTCAATCAGTTCAGTCAAACTTAAGTATGGTCGGCTGAATAAGCTACATCATTGTTCAGTTACAATGCTAAGCCATAAACCCATAAATTCTAAAAATATGTAGACCCAAATTTCCACAGGTTTCAGCAACATCAACACTAGCAGAAGAATTCTCAGAATTGGAATCCAAATATCTGGAAAGCATCCAAATTAGGAAGAATTGCCATAAAGTAGGATTTACAAACCATAATGACTAGTCTGACAGAACAGGCTATGCTGCATTAATAGCAACAGCACTTATATACTGCTTCATAGTGATTTACAGCACTATCTGAGCACTTTACAAAAGTCAGCATATTGTCCCCAATAATGTGGATCCTTATTTTACCAACCTCAGAAGGATGGAAGGCCAAGCTAATTTTGAGCCGGTCAGGATCGAACTCCGCGCTGTTGGCTGAGTTAGCCTGCAGTACTGCCTTCTAATCACTGCCTTCTAATCACAGCCCGGAGTTTGGTTTCAGCTTTCAACAAAGAAAGCATTGCCCTTTTGATGAACAGAAAGGGAATATATAGTATATTCCTTTTATATAGTATATATAAATATGTACTATAGCAGTGAATTAATATCTCTGGTCCTGTGATCTTAAACATACTTCCTTAAGAAGGCAGTATTTTGCATGTACTAGGAGTTAATTTCTAGCTTGCATAGACTAAGTTTGCCTAACTTATTATAGACATATTTGTAACTATGCTACTTAAAATCTTGATCAAAATACTTTCAGTATCAAAACACAATTGAACTGGCATGCACACATGATCTTTTCTGCAGATTTTCCAATGTAATGTGCTCCACACTTTATATTTCGCTGGGTCCACTTAAGCTATTGTAATTATCCTGTATAGTGTTAAAACTATATAAATTTTATAGTTAAATAAATAAGACTTAAACTACACATTATGTAAATATACATTTAAAAAACAAGTTTATAAAAGCTACTTTTACTTTGCTTTTAAAACTCAGCGCTATCCAATATGAGTCTGAGAACTCATTTTTGCTTCTATGATTAATTTCCATATGGGCAAATGACTCTTTAGCTTGTGATATTTGCATCTGTAGTTTTTCTGTAGAATTAATTGTGAATTCTGGATTATATCAGGGTTTAATCCAGGTCAGGGTTCCACAAAGCTATTTTTCTTCAACATAAAAAAGCCAATTTAACAAGTCTTTAAGTCTTCTTTTCTACATCCTACAGTTTGTAGAAACCATTTCAGTCTCCCTGAAAGTTGAGTTCAATGATATTAGGATTGCAACTTTCAAAAGTTCAGATAACATGACCTTCCTAGAACTGGAAGTAGCGGAACTGGGAAAGGCTTTCTGTTATTCAAGGCCAGAGATATGAAACTTGTTACTCTCCTGTTGACGTTGGACTCCAGCTCAATCAGGCCCAGTCAATGACAAGTATAACTCCCAGAGAAGATGGGTGATAGATTAGGCAGTGGAATCATACAAGTTGAAAGAGATTATTTAGACCAATGAGATCAATTTGTTGCTCAAAGGGCAAAGGAATGGGTTACATGAGCAAAAGTCTGTTTTGAATCAACTGTTTTGGTATGTCCTGATCTCTTTTGCTACAAAGTTAAAGCAATAGGGAAAAATTTAAAAATATTTTCATAAAAAGCATTTAAACAACCAAGTAAGTAATAATTTATCAATTGGGGAAAAAAACAAAAATAATTAGAGAAGGAAATTTTATTTGCAGACTGGAGGACAACATTGTAAACCATGAGGACCTTCAAAAATTGTATACAGCAATTGCAATTTCACAAGTTTTTCTTTTTCAAAAAAGGTGGACAAATAAATATTTACAGAAAAGTATACAGGATATGTCTTGGAAGTCAATTGTATATGAACACAAAAGCAATATGGACACACATTTTTTTAACCTAATGGAATATTTATATAAAATGGCAGCATAATTTTAATTTATGGGTTGTAATTGATGTAATTTTTACACATTTTTTTTCCTCTCCTAATAATCCTAATAGGAATTTCATTAATTTTAGTGTGCATTATCCTGGGATATTAACTTCTCATATTGGATTCCATGACTAGAATGTATGTAGTGCTTTTTTGGGCTAGATTCTGCATTGCCCTAATATCCAGCATCCCTGAGAGACAACAGGATATGCAAAATGTATAGCACCATTGCCATGCAACTTTAATTTACTTAACTGTGGATTCACATTCCTGGACTCCTGAAAAAGCCTAAACGAATTATATAGTGATTATGCAGCAGCAAACTAAAGATTGCACCCAGAAATTCACAGAATAGATACACCCTAAAATAATATATGACATTATGTGTTTAATTTAATAGTTTAATGGCAGGGGTGTCAAACTCACGTCGTCACGGCTACATCATGTGACATGCCACAACTTTTTTCCCCTTTGGGTGTGGCCAGCACATGATGCATCCGGCCCAAGGGCTGCAAGTTTGACAGCCCTGGTCTAATGTGAGGAATGAGGGTCTGTTATACCTGAATGTCTGTTATTGGCTAATAGGATTTGACGCATATATAAAAGAGAGTTGTACATGCATACAGTGATGGTATGGAGGTTTTAGAAATGCATATAATGTTTTTCTAACTGTATTTTATGGCAAACAGATTTTATCCAAGGATTACTGTATTCAACTACACACCAGATTAAACACTTCTATGCACACTTATTAGGGAATAAGTCACACTAAAACTCTGCAAAATCTGCTTCCAGGCAAGCACGCATAAAAATTGCTTTGCATCATACAATTCCAAGGTATTGCTGGTCTACATACACAATGGATTATTTTACATCATCTGGCATAATTAATTTAGAAGAAAACTTTATCCAGATAACTCCTTCCAGGATTATGTATTGCTCCATTATTTACATGCACCTCCAAGCAAAATGATTAGAATAATTCTGTTCTCGTGTTGCAGAATTTCTGACATATATCTTATAAGCTACCAATTGTCCATGGATCATATCTTGGTCCTAAAAAAAACTCTCGTAGAGAACAGCTATGGTCTGTGACTATATCCCATTTTATAATTTGTAGAAAAAGAAAATTAATATTCTAAATGTCCCCAAATGTTCTTTCAAATACTTCATATAATACTATTAGAGGTATAGGCTTTTCTCCAAATATACTATTCCAGTATGTTCAGTTGTTCACGTTTTGTTGATTTATTTCACAAGGAGCTGTTAGCATGAGGTGCTAACACAGAAAACAGCATTTATTTTCCTTAAAAACACCTAGCTTCAGTAGCATTATTGCTAATGTCTACATTTTTGTTATTCTATGGTTTAAACACTTGCCCAGAAGTCAGCATTTGCTTTTCAAAGTATTTTATTTAGACTAGGGTTTTTGTCTAATTTAGTATAGCTAAGTAAAAAAAAACATTAGCAGACATTCAAAAAATAATCCAGAATAATTTAAACTTACCACATCCACTTTGAAAAATGAAAACCCCAGCATGGTCTATAAATGGCATATTTAAAGTATAAGAGAGAGCAAAGTTTATCTTTATTTTCATAAGTTTAAAAAATTATTCTGCAAGTAAACAGCCTTTATCTTGCATTAAGCGCTTTGCAAAAGTCCCACCTTCACAAAAAAAGCCTTTAAATGCTGAAGTAAAATCCATTTTAAACAAAAATACTGTGCAATGTCAGCACTACTTTTCTCTCTTAAATATTGAAATAAATAAAATAACTTGTTCTAGTTTGTGTCAAGTTTTTTTTTTCATTAGTCTGTTGTTTTCAGTCATTTCCAGTTTGACCTGGACTTAGATATACACGCATACACACACACAAACTTGCACAACACTTTAAAGATATTTTTCTTTTTTTAAAAAAATGTAAGTTTTTTTTTTGTATTGCACAAGCTTAGGGAACCCCCAAAACTTCTCTGAGCAAGTGCCAGCAGGCATTCCACAGTCCAAACTCCCGTGTGGGAACAAGACACAGGTGAGACAGGATCGGGCAATGTGAGAAAGATCAGAGCATTTTGAACACTCTTGGTTGGTTGGTTTCTTCCAAAGATTCCATGAAGAATTCAGATTCCAAATAAGCACAGGGTGTTATCTGCAGAAGAAAAGCAAAGAAAGAAGGAAAAACTCAAAGATATTTCAAACAGCAAGCAGATTTTCTTTTTTAAAAAATAGCAATAACTGATATAACAAGAAATCCCATCTCCAAGTCTGGATGAGCCAAAACACACTTTCTTTGGAACATGCTTTGTGTCACTGCATCACCTCACAGCTCTGGAGTAATCAAACTAAAATATATTCAGAATATAAGTCTGTCATTACTGAGTAGGGGCTAGCATCCAGATGAAACATATTTTTAAAAAAATGTTCAACCATCTTTCCCCTATGTTTTTCACTTCTGATCACTGTTCTTCCAGACAAGTGGCTCTATTTACATTATGTGATCAAAAACCTATGATTTAGTAACAGCATTTACTTCACACTTGTAAAGCAATAATAGTCAGGGGTCATGTCACTTGAAACATTTTAGATTTTCAATGTAAATAAAAGCAGAATCATGGCAATATCCTCTATGCATTGATCCAGGCTTCAGTTGCAGAATCCCTCCCCAGTGTGTTATTTAATGTACCCCTATTATTTTAAACTAGTTATGCAGATACATGAATTTAGCTAGTACATATGTCACAATAACACTCAGGGTGAAGAAAATCTGCTGGAATTCTGGCTTCTGCCTAACTTTTAAAAAGATATAAATTCTCTCTACTATATATAACATCTCACCACCCTTCTAGAAGTATGGATGAAATCCAGGACCATACACTTTACTACAATAAGAACTGACACTGTAAATTCATGATACAGTAGTTTTAAGCTAAGTAGAATTATGTGACAAGTCTAAGAATAGTAGACCATATAAGGGAATGATAGCTGCCTGCTTTTAATGCTGGAACTAAATGAAAAAGTTTCAGTTTATTCTTCACCTAAACTATCTGCGAGGGGATTAAGTTAACACACCAATCCTTCAGCTTCTTAGTTGCTAAAAATAGCGACAATGATAACTCTTTCAAAAGTGCACCACTATAATCACCAAATTCTTTAGGACTTGATAAATTTTCAGAAGAATTTATTACACAAATGTTCATGCTATGCCTGAATCAAATTCAGAAGTTTTATAAATTAACTCACATGTCTCCTAAAAATCAGGCCAAACAACATATACAAAGTTGCTTATTAGGAATGCATTTGATTTGTGCATTTTATTACTCGGTTTCTGAATTTAAAAAATTTTCTTTAAAAAAAGATGCAAGGTGATAAGAAATCTTTGATTAAGTAACGAATGAGTAGTGCCTATCAATAAAATATAATATATATATACATTTGAATCTTTATCTAACCATTCCATTCTTTCTCCACTCTGTGGAAGCCAGCTTTTTATGACATTTAAAGATGTTCAATTCTCAATGGTCTGCTATGATTCTCTATTGCAGGGGCCGCCAAACTTTTGGACCTCAGGGACCACCAAACTCATAATTTTAAATCCCAGGGACCACTAACCAGTTCTGTGAGTGTGGCCTAATTTGTGGGTGTGGCTTGGTGATCATGTGACTGGCTGGGCATGGCTTGTATGTAAATATTATATTTATATAAATATTGAATTCTTTTATTAAAAAAGAACAACCTTTACCCAAAATCAGGCAAAGCAGGCAGGCAGATTGAGTTGCTCACAGAATTACAGATTCATTCAGAGATCTATCTGCTAGCTCAGTCTGTCACATAAAATTTGCTTGCAAGCAAACTCACAAAATTAACTCACAACACACCATGTATGCAAATATTGAATATTTTATTAAAAAAGAGCAACTTTTACCCAAAATCAGGCAGAGCAGGCAAGCAGATTGAGTTGCTCACAGAATCATTCAGTGATATAACTTTCTGTCATTGGCTAGCTCAGTCTATCACATAAAATTTGCTTGCCGTAAGTCTGCACCGAATAACAGAACCTTCAGTCCTAAGGGAAGTTCAGCTGTGCTTAAAAGCAGAGCTGAAGATCTAAAGACTAGCTAGAAAGCAAGAAATCCAACCATTTCCAGCTTCCTAGCTAATCTAAATCTCCCGGCACAGCAGAACAGATGATGGTCGGAAAAAGAAAAAATAGCAATTTAGCAGGCAAGTTTGCCGGGTAAGGAGTGAGTGGGCAGGGAGGGTTCCCACGGGCCATGTGGGTGGTGCAGCCTTGTGTTTCTCCACAGCCTGGAATAATTGCTTTGTGGGGGTGCTCTGGGGGTGAGATTTCTCTGCAGCCCACCAAAATTTTATCGCGGACCACCAGTTGGCTACCACTGCTCTATTGACTATATATAGACAATGAGACCATTCACTAGTCACTGAGTTATTATATATTCTTATATATAAACACTGTTAATGGTGTATTCTGTCCCTATTCTATGAGATATTGTGTTACTCAGTTTGATCATTTCCCCCCCTTTTTCTGTTAAGTGCACATTTCCTTTTATTTAAGAGACATCATACTATTACCTTGGGGGAAGATCCTCCAAGTGCTCATATCATCCAGATTCTGATGAAGACAAAATGGTGTTCTGTAATCAGATCACATTGTTCAGATCTGTCAATATGTGGCAGCTTTAAAATTATGGGCCAGCTCTTTGAAGGCCACAGATACTGATTGAAAAGAGGATCCCCTTGCTTAACATATTGAATATACCATAATAATTGAGTGAAGATTAATTTTATTGTTGTAATGTTATATGGGAATGACCTTGGGAGCGGATACCAAATGCTGGCTGGGGAAGCTGAATAAGGGACAGAGAAAGAGCTAAGAAGGAAGACTCCCTACTTTCTCAGGCTGTATAAAAGATGGCAGGAGATTTGTGCTACAATATCAACTTGCAAGATTCTGTTAATGTAGCCCCATGGTAAAATAAAATTAGCTCATCTGATCTGGCCTACTGGGCAGGCTGACAATTGTTTTGTACTTTACATAGGGGATTACAACTAAACTGAAGGGTTATCATACAAAAATGCCCTCTTTTCCCCCAGGCTATAATCCATACAGATGAAAGAGAAAGAAAATATCCCAAATTTTGCAGATACTTTGGGAAGAAGTAGTGGTGGACTGAAGCAAATAGTGATGAAAACTGGGGAGTAGTTGGTTCAGCATTCATGAAGGACATTAAGATAGTACTTCTTAGCTATAACTTCTGGGAAAGAGCTGCTTATGCTGCTTCCTGAGTGATGTTAGAATGAGATAGAAGTAAAAACCAATCAAAATAGAAATAGTGTTCTGCAAGAGAAAAATCAAAAGCCAGAATTTGATTTGGGGCATATGTGAGATTGCTCATGGCACATTTCAAGAATATATTAAAAGCAGAGGCATCTTTGCTTATGTTCTACCACTTCAATTATAGGTCCATACGTATTAGCTAGTACTGAATTCACTGGGCATAAGTACACCAAGCTATTTGTTGGATTGTGGCCATAAGGAAGTCTTTTCAAATATATCTATTCAATCAATAGAATTTGAAAAATGTACTGAACAGCAGCTACATTTTTGGGAAATGTATGTCAATTACAAATTATCATACTGTGCAAAATTCCATGTATGTTTAATTATACAAACTGTTTTAAATTTTAAGCCTAAAATTGAGAGACTATAAATCTAAAGAAAGGAAGTAATATTGCAGTTCTAATGTTAAAAAAATAGGATTTTTACTTTCCCTCTATACAATTCATAATGTGCTGTACAGAATTCTGCCTTCCTTCAAGTAAATCTTCATTTTAAAAGAGAGCTTTCATTTTAAACCTGTTTTTTGGTATTTTCATGACTGATGACAACATCAGCCACAGGGCAGAATATGGCTTATCATACAGTTAATGTATAATAGAACAGCCAGACTGTGGATGTTGTAGAAACAAACCAAATTATACTTAGGACTAATTCAAATTTTGGACAACAAATTTTGTTTTTGTTTCTGACCACGACAATGATAAAAATATTTTTCCAGATTATAATTTGACAGCAGGCACAGAAGGCATTTTTCACAGATGGTGTCCCTTGCACAGGCTGTGTGTATTAGCTCTCTGATCTGCTTCAGGCATTAGCAGGGATGATTTGCTCCATCTTTGAAACTACAGCCATAAGTTGAAAAAATGCAAATTTGAACAACCACTAACAATGAACAACACTTAATGAGTATTTGCTGAGGGACAGAAGATTAAAGATGAAATAAATCAATATGCCACTATGTGTTTATCCTGCATAGAAGCGAGAGAGCATTATTTTTAGGTATTTTGGGATTACAGTAGGTAATTTCAGACACTAGTTTTTATCAAATCTAGTTTGTAAACTTTATTAGGCAACCTGATGCTCAAATTAGTCTTCATCTACTATTAGAGTTCATGGTATATTAAAAGGTATTCCTCTGAAAACTCATTGTTTTCAAACAACCACTCATTTCCTTATACTGGCTCTAAGCATAGACAGAGATTATATGGGGAAAGGACAAATTATTATATCACTAACTTTGCTATCCTCCTGGACAACTGTTCTGAAAGCCTGATGGTAGGAGAACAAACATTTTCTTTTACTTAATATCTACTGGGTTGTCTATCATTTCAGAGGCTACTGCAACATTGTATTTTGCTTTCCTTTGTATTTGTGGGGATGTATGACACTAAAACAGAGTATGTCTAATAATGGGTAATGCCTAGATAGGCCAAGCCCACATTTCCAATACTTAGGACCAAGCTCCTAAATTCTAACTTCTTCACTACCAGTAGCAGTAATTTCAACTGATAGTAAAATCTATCCAAAAGGAGACAAGAGCACCTTGTTTTGCTGTGAAAATGAATGATAATTATACAATTATATACCCTCATTGTTTATTTTAAATAAAATTAGATTACCTACCCATGGAAAGACAGATATGGTTAATTAACAAGGAAATAAGGAATCTAATTTATTATGTAAATTCATTATTGAATTACTATGTGCCCCCCCCCCCCAAAAAAAAATCTGTTTCCCATTGCTGTTAGCCTTTTCTTTTGGAAGTACTGTTATCTGTAGCCAAGTAACTC